CTCCCTCCCTCCCTCCCTCCCTCCCTCCCTTCCTTCTTATCCACTGAATCTTACTAAGTAGCCCCGGTCTCCGCCTATCCTAAAATTCACAAAATATCCACCGGCCTCTGCCTCCCAAATGTTGAACTGAAGGTGTCACCATACCCACCACACCCACACGCCCAGCCTCTGGTCATGCTTCTCTTTTCCTCATATGACATTAAACGTTGAAAATTCTTGATGTAACTTCATTGGTTATTTCACAGATTTTAGATATACTAGGTAGTTGACATAACTTTTACTGCTAAGAGTTTGCTTAACTCTTAGATGGAGATGAACTTATGGAGCTTATATTCCTCATAGAGACCAAACACTTACAGACGTCTGCCTGGGACAAAAGAATAATTGAACCACATAGCAAGACTCAAGCTGTTACAGCTGTTAGAATTGTTTGTGTGTTTGGGACTCAGCGATGGCTCAGAGGGCAGTGCGTTTGCTGTGCAAGCAGGAGGTCGTGTTTGCATCCCTGGCACCCGTGATTCAAAGCTAGGAGTGACGGCACGTTTGCACATGCCGTGTGTTCCGACTGCATCCAAAGCGGCGATCCTGCCAGTTACCCCCAAGTGTTGTGTGAAATCTTACATATCTCAGCTCTTCCTAAAAGTTCTCTTCATTTCTTCAGTGACCTGCTCATGCTGCTGTTGTTTCTTGGGTGAATGAAATTCATACTTGACTTTTTTCTTTCCAGTCACCCGCATCTTTCCACTCACCTTGTTATGTGGAAGTGCACCAGCTACTTCTGCTGTGACCACAGAACCCATCTTCCACGCAACCTGGCCCACTGTCCAATCTGTTTATCATGCAGTGCCCCACACAGATATTCCTGATACACAGCTTGAGGCCTTGCACATCCTTGCATTGTCTGTAGCAGGTGGTCTGCACGCCATCATTTCTACCTCAACTGTCCTTGTACTTCGTTCCGAACCAGACATTTATCAACCAACTTTTTGATGAGTCTAAATGCACCTTCCAGGGCTGGAGAGACGGCTCAATGGCTAAGAACACTGACTGCTCCTGTAGAGGACCCAGGTTTGGTTCCCAGCACATGGCAGCATGCAGCTGTCTGGAACTCCAATCCCAGGGAATCCAACACCCTTTGTTCTCCCTGCTGCAGGCACGTGGTGAACCATAAATTCATGCAGGCACATGCATAGATAAATAGATCAATAAATCTTTAAACCTAACTTCTCATTCTCTCTCTCTCTCTCTCTCTCTCTCTCTCCCTCTCCCTCTCCCTCTCCCTCCCTCCCTCCCTCCCTCCCTCCCTCCCTGCCTTCTCTACAGGCTCTTGCTGTGTAACCCTGACAGAATGTGCTGTGTAGCCCAGGGTGGGTTTTGAATTCCTCGGAGTTCTCGCGCCTTTAGCTGGCTGGGATTACAGGCATGTCCCACCACCCCCAGATGTGATCTGTTTCGTTGTTGCTGTTTTCCAGTCCAGCTCTTCTTGTTCATCCTCACCAACTCTAAACTTTCCCATTTTTTCTGAGTCCACCAACAATATTTTCTCCTGGAGGGGGTGTGCTTCAGCAAATACTCCCTGAGGCTTGTCCCACTTCACACCAAGACAGCATGTTGGCGTTAGAGAGGACTTAACATGGCTGCGGAACTCACTTGTTCCTTTGTCGTAGTCCCTTCGGCCATGTCAGCTGCAGGGCACACCTGTTGCTGAGGCGTCGTCACTGCTACTGTTCACTGCTAGTTTTAAAATCATATTGTTGCTCCACTTAGCCCTAAAACATAGACAACACCTGTCACTAGGATTAAAAGCACATTTTTAAATTTTATTTTATGTTTGTTGAGACAGAGTGCCACTCTATAGAGTGTACTTTTGCCTTGACTTTGAACTCACAGCAATCCTTCTGCCTCAGTTCCCTGAATGTTAGAATTATAGGCATGAGTCACTATTCCTGACTAAAGTATTTTCTAGTCAGCCTCTAGTCCCAGGGAATTTCTCTCAAGTTAAAAATGAACTTCTCCATCTTGTACTGAGAAAGAATGGGGCTGTCATAGTTTTTAAGTATGGTTCCCTCCCTCAGATGATCTTTGCTGTGTTGAATTTCTATTGTACAGTAATATCCAAGAGTATATAAAACTGAAAATTGGCACAAACAATTATTTCCCTTCTATCCCCCTAGTCTCCATTGGAAGGGCCTTGAGGGGAATAGCATTGTACACAGCAGCCAAGTCTCCAGAGAAATGAGCTCAGACTCTTATGTCAAGGGTCTCCTAGACTGCTAGCAGGGTGGTGACTGTATGGGAAGGCTCATGGGACACCACGGATTTGTGGCTGGGATTTGTGTAGTGATAAGTCAGAGAGAAAATAAGCAGCAAGAGCCAAGTCCGGGGAAGCCAGGTGCAGAGACTGTCACTCAGGGCATGTTCCATTCCCTCAGCCAGAGTTCTGACTGCACATTTGGAATGCTGTCTTCTCAACATTCAGACACCAGAGACTCGGTGTCCAGCGTTGTTCACTAGTGGGCAATCACACGACCATCTATCTGCCCACATTCCTAGAAGGGGAGAAGGTGTCCCCCATAAGCCACAGTGCTTCCACACACAGTTTAGGCAAAAAGCCATTTTTATCAGCTGGTGAGAGTGTTACCACACTTGCAGTCATAATTTACACCCCAGGAAGCCAGACTCAGTCACCTATCCTCAAGAAACCAATTAAAACAGCCTGATTCAGAGTAAAAAGCAAGAAAGATTTATTTAATGTGGCCACATTGGGAAGAGGGAAAATGAGATCCAGTGGACACCTCCTACCAGGTCCATCTTTGGTCCCGAGGTGAGAACATTTTTTTTTTTTCTGAGGCAGGGTTTCTTTGTGTAGTTTGGTGCCTGTCCTGGACCTCGATCTATAGACCAGGCTGGTCTCAAAATCACAAAGATTTGCCTGCCTCTGCCTCCCAGGTGCTGGGATTAAAAGCATGTACCACCACCACCTGGCCAGGAATAAGTTTAATAAAGGGCCAGGGATATGCACATCTGAGCAGTCCTGGCCAAGGTATGGGGGATTGGTTACCCTATAACTGGAGACAGTCTCCCAGGCCTTTTCTCTTCCCAGTGTGAGATTCTTAGGAAATTCCCATTTCTCAGGTGCATTGTTTCAGAAGTCTGGTGGTTGGATCGAAGGACACGATTGTCTGATAGGGTATTCTCACTTACTCCAGGCTGGTTGCTATAGGAATCCTTAAACTACATCCCTGAACATTGACTCAGGGCAGTCTCCTTAGTAACCCTTCCAAAAGAGAGCAGCCAGGCTGGCAGGCACGACGCTTCTGCTGAGCCTGTGAACTAGGAACAGCCACTTTGGACTCTAAAGGTGTCTCAGTATTCTAGAATCTTCTCGTGTGCTAGGCAGCACATCAATGATGACATCTTTTAGAGAGAATAAAATCATTAGATAGAATGCAACCTCAAGACCTTGTGTGGTCCCAAAGCTTGCCGCCGAAGAGTCCGCTGTGGCTTTTCTTCCCAATGCCTGCATTCACTGATAGTGGCCAAAAGGGGACAGTTGACACCACAGAAACCAGCACACGCCACCAGTCAGACTTTCTCTCACAAGAGACCACATCCCCTTCTCATGCCTCACCTGAATTCATTCTGCTAGACGATGATATGTGGAAAAGTGGTACATTGATCTGGAATCCTGATTTTCCTTCTATTTTGGACAATATTGTTCCTAAATGATTTTCCATAGCCAGAAAAATTTTGCCTCAAACTTACCTAATTTTCAACATATGTTAGTTTAAACTTTGGAATTCTCAACTTTAAACCTCAAATGAGTTGCTGATGATACTAGATTATTTATACACATATGCTGTATTTGGTATGATCATATGTGTATGATCATCTTGAGAGGTTCCAAGTGAAATCCTTGTTTCTGTGATGACCATGACAAGAAGCTGCGTGCTCTTGTGATACCTTCCGGGTGACATTACCCTTGTTGGTGGCTCCCAAACTGTGTTCTGTTCCAAGATTACCGTCAGTGGGCTCTACTGCAGAGAGCCTTTCTCCTCAGCTGTTTCGTTAATCTGAGCAGCAGCTGGAGAATGGAACAGGGCAAGGAAAGCTGCCCCTGTGCTTGCATAGAACCAGAGTCAGTCTTCAAGGGTGTATCTGAGGACAGCATGGAAAAGACGAAGCCAGAGAGACAGTGAAACTCTCCTAGCTCTCTCCCCCACAGAGTGCAGTCAGGAAGAGGTGCCCCTGATAATGGTGGAACACGATCCACCGCAGAATGGTTGGTCAGCTCTTTGTTCGTTTTTGGCTCTGCTGACATACTGCCTATGCCAAATTTTCCCTAATGGTGCATTGCCTTCTTGCTTAATATTCTCAAACACTTCTTTGATTAAAATCCAGATTTCCTATGAAGCACCTAAGATCTTCCAGTCTTAGTTTCCCTGTTTCTTCTGCAGGCATCTCTGCCAAGCTCTTCCACCTCTTAGATTTCATGATGGTGACTCCTGCCCACACTCCCTGCCCCTCCTCCTCTTCCTCCTGCCCACACTCCCTGCCCCCTCCTCCTCTTCCTCCTGCCCACACTCCCTGCCCCTCCTCCTCTTCCTCCTGCCCACACTCCCTGCCCCCTCCTCCTCTTCCTCCTGCCCACACTCCCTGCCTCCTCCTCCTCTTCCTCCTGCCCACACTTCCTGCCCCCTCCTCCTCTTCCTCCTGCCCACACTCCCTGCTGCCTCCTTCTCTTCCTTCCTAGTCTTCTTCTTCTTTCTCTCTTCTCTCTTATTAATTTTTCAGCATACAAAGAAGTGGGTTCCAGGGTGACCTTCTCACATGTATATGATTATTCTTTGTCCCGCCCACCCACACATGGTGCCCTCCCTCAGCCTCTGTTGCCTTAATGCTGGTTCCTTCCTCTCTGAAACTGTACTCCTCTGTCTCCTGACACATCCATCCCATCACCCTCTCTTCCCCTTCCCTCCTTTTAGACCTCTTTGTCCCCTCTCATAGGCTGAATTAATTCACTCTCAATTGTTTGTGCTGAGAAGCCATTCTACCAGTTTCTCTCGGAGTTTAGTGCCTTCTCTGATTCTGTAGATTTTGTATGCATTTGCACACCTCTTTGAAGATTTCCCCCCATAATTATACTGTAATTTTCAATATGTCTCTCTTTAGTTTTCTATAGCCTTTTCATTTCAATTGTGAGGACGTTTTAGCTTGTTATACCATACCCTTCGATACTTAGCTCAGTATATACATCTGTATTCATCCTCACACACTATGTAAGCTGTAGTGACTTGGAACTACATTAAAACTCTTTGCAGGAGTTGGTATTTAATGAGGAAGTGTGGGGTTTACTGGGTCTTGCCTCCCTCTGTGTATAGACTCATCAGTATTTAACTCTGTGTCATGCTGCTGGTTTTTCATTTTTTAGGCAGATTCACAGATTGGCCGAGAACATCAGAACTTCTATGAAGCTTCATTAGAATATGTCTTTAAAATCCAAGAGGTCCAAGAGAAGAAGAAGTTTGAGTTTGTGGAACCAGTAAGTCATAGTTTTCTTGTATATAACAGCCTCAAAAATGATCTATGAGGAAAGTGCTTTAGAGCGGATTTTTTTTTGAAATTATGATCAAAGAAAATAAAAAGAAGAGAGTTGGGGAAGGATGAATACCTTTAGGGCAGTGAATTCCTCTTATCTTTTTGTAATGGTGAATGAGTGAAATGTACCAATAAAACCCATAGAATGCACAATTCAAATAGTGAATTTTGGATTCAGTTAACAATATATCCATATTGACTCACTGACTGCAATAACTCTACCACAGGAATGCAAGTTATTAAGAGTGGAGACCACCATGTGTGGAATGCAGATTGGGTGCTTGAGGGAACCCTCATTTCTCCCAGAAACCTAAAACTATGCTGGGAATAAAAATCTATTAATCTAAGACTAAGACATGGTGTGTACATTCCTATGGCAGTGAAGTTTGATTTGTCACCCTGATGTGGCTAGGAAAAGCCTGGGCCATGAAGGAAGCTCACTTCTGGTTTTATCTGGGAGTGCCTTCCCAGAGAGGATTGATCGGGTTGGGAAAGGCTGTGTGCGCAGTCCTGAAAGTGGGTGGAACATCCCTAGAGCTGGGGTCCTGGACTGAATAAAGATATAAGAAGGAAAAGGCCATCGGGTTGTCTGTATTTCCCCCTCTGCCTCCTGCTCCACCGCGATGTGAGGGATCGCAGCACCTACACTCTCCCCACGGCCTCACGCCTTCCCATTATGACTGACTGACTGTGCCTCTGTACCACAGGAAAATAGCCTCTCTTCCTAACTTCAGTTGCTTTTCTCAGAAATCTGACGACAAGAAAGAGAAAGTTACCTATATATGAGTGAATACATTCCACCTAGACAGCATTCCAGGTACCGAACTTTAAGGTGAATGGAGAAAAACCTAGGGCCCTCTTTCCCTCCATGCCCTCCAGCTCTTCCGTACAGACTGAGGCCCTGTACTCCTTTGCCTGTGAAGCATTTCTTTTCCTAGCTTAATATAAGAGGTAATGGATTCCCCTGTAAATGGTATTGCAGAAGGGAACAGGTGAAGATGCTTATTTTATTCTCTTAGCATTTTTCAAAGTATGGTCGCTCACATAAGCATCCTCATAAGGTGGCATCCGTGAGGGTAAGGTCAGCTCTGGTGTCAAGGTAATCTTCTGGTGCAGATGTGTAGAAGTGGCACAGTTCCCATGAAGTGAGCCGGCAGGACCACTAATGCACAGGGAAGCCAAGAGCAGGGCCATCTTCCTGCGACAGTCCTTGAGATACTCATTCGTAATAAACATTAAACACACTGTCCCTGCTTTAGGGGGAGGATAGTGATGCAGTGAGGAAAGAGTGTCAGTGTTTTCAAACACATTTGTCATAATCTATTTCCTGTGGGTCCCCAGACACAGACAATGAAAAAGAACAGAGCCTCCAGGAATGCGGGTTCCCTCCTGAGATGCAGGGCCTCAGCTTTGGAGTCCACTGACTCAGTCCTGTAAACAAGGCACTCTGTGTGCTGTAAAACCAATCTCTCAGCCAAGAGCGTGAAGGCACTCAGGCCATAACTCAGCCTCAGGGATTTAATTTTCACCTTTTGTTTGGAACAAGGGACTTCACTCCAAATTCTGCTTGCTGAAGAACTGTCCTTCAGTTCCCTTAGGATGAAGAAGTAACTTACCTAACAAACCATCTGAGGATTAATCTTCAGATGACTTTAGGAGTCCTTTGTATGACAGAGACTACTTCTGAGATTCCTGGTCCCCTCTTACTGACTAAGCCCTGCCAGAGAGCCCCATTATGACCTTTTTTTTCTTTTAAGATTGTGAGTAACTTGGTATATATGTCTTTGTCTGTGTTTGGGATTCCATGTGTATGGGTGCCCTTGGAGGGCCAGAAGCGAGTGCTGGATTTGACAGGTCATGTGCCTCCTGATGTGGGTGCCAGGAACTGAACTTGTACCCTCTGAAAGAGCAGGCCCAGCCTCCCCTGACACACACTTCTTTCTTCTCCCCAGCTAGAGAACTCCTGTAACACCTGCCTCCTTCCCAGCATTTCTAAGTTGAGGCTCTTTTTACACCCTGGTACGAGAGCCTGTTAATTCTGGCATTTTTCCCCCTGCATATTCCTTCCATACGTGTTGACATGTCTTTCTGATGCTGCCCTCTCCTGTTATTCCTTGCCTGTACCTGGAATGACATTTCCTCATGTGTGTACCTCCTGGAGAGTGACTTGAAGTTGACTGTTGCCTCATTTGAGCTTCTTTATGGCCCATTCTGTCTGGAAATACTCAGCTCCATCTTCCTATGATATAACATTAGTTGTATCAAGAGGAGATTATAGAATCATTTGCTCACAGGTGGTGGGCGGAAGGAATAATAAATATCCTTGAACTGTAGGAAATGACACTTTACTTGAAATGTGTTTTCTTCCCCCCACCATGTCCCAGCGGTGACATCCCATTAAGCCTTTTGTAGCACGTGCTTTCTTACGATGCCACTCTTAAAATTGAAGTGAGGTGTGTCCTGCGTTATTTTCTTGGCTGCTGCGCTTTCCTGTTAGAGTGGCTGTGAACGGAACAGTCCTGCCTCTTCTCTGGCTTTAGTCTCCTTGGTAGAGTCTTGCAAGATTTCTCTTCTAGTGACAGGAAGAGTATGCGCGGGACCAACACCATGTGAGCATGAAAGTTGATCTTCCACGTCTACAAAATCACTTGGAGCAAAAATTTTGGTTTTACCTGGGCTTCTTTGTCTGTTTTTTTGAGACAGGGTTTCGTGTAGCCCAAAGTGGCCTCAAACTTGTTGTGTAGTTGTGGTAGCCTTAAACTCTGGATTCTTCTGCACTGTCTGGAGTGCCAGATTAGAGGCGTGAGCTACCAATTTTAAAACCACTTATAACATTGTATATACAATTTTCCTGATGAGTGGAGAGAGATCTATTCAGATGTTTGCCATTGACTATTCTTTCCCTAGTCGTGATGTCTGGAGAGTCCTGTGAACAACCAGTTCACCAGAGACTTGTGATGTGTGGGGAAAGATACATTGGTTTAGAATTTCATAGGACTCAGACTATCATGACAGAGGAGGCAGGATGGCTGTGGGAGAGGGCTCAGACCTGGCCAGATTCAGAAACTAGAAGTCTTGTGGTGATAAACCACCAGCCCCGCCTCCAGCGACTCATTTCCTCCAACAGGCCTCGCTTCCTGAGTTCCACAGCCTCCCACAAGGGCACCACCAGCTGGGAACCAAGTGTTGCCCATTCAGACTTCAGCAGGTCACCCTTTGTACCTGTTTCTCTGCTGCTGTCCGGCGTTGGCTCACTTCCACTGCCTGGCATTAAGGGTGAATGAAATTAGGATGGGTGAGGCTTCCTAGTCTGCTTTAACTGAGATCTGTGCGGTTTTCTGTTTCACATGAGCTTAGAATCTTCTGGTCCTGAGAAGATGTGAGTTGGGTTCTGGTTTTACTACACCTGTCTATCAATTTGGAGAAAATTTCATCTTAACAATTTCAAGTTCTTCAAACCGTGAAAGTGGGAGATTTTTTTTATTTGTTTGCACTTCTCTAGTTTATTTATGTTCTGTTCATGGTTTTAAGAATATGTTTTGAAACATTCACTAAATTAATTCCTAAGTATTTTATTATTTTAAGGCTATTGAAGATGGGAGTTTTCTTTCTTTTCTTTTCTTTTTTTTTTTTTTTAAAGATTTATTTGTTTATTATGTATATGGAAGAAGGCACCAGATCTCATTACAGATGGTTGTGAGCCACCATGTGGGTGCTGGGAATTGAACTCAGGACCTCTGGAAGAGCAGTCAGTGCTCTTAACCTCTGAGCCATCTCCCCAGCCTGAGTTTTCTTAATGTCATTTTCGAATTGCTTATTATAAAGCACCTCAGTATAAAATCAGTTTTTAAACATTAATCTCACAGAACTTGTTTATAGTTCTATTAGTTTTTTTTTAAATGGGTTCCTTAGGATTTTATGTACATAATTTGGTGCATTTGTGAAGAGTTTTGCTGTTTTCTTTCTAATCTACATGTCTTGCATCTCCTTTTCTTGCCAAATCACATAATGAGCATAAATGTCTGGAGTCTTCTTCCAGAACCTGGGACTATTCAGCCTTTCATGACTAAGAATAATGTTAACTGCAGGGAGCATTTTTGTCAGTGACTCGTGTTTTAATAGGTAAAGCTGTGCATTTTAGTGTCAGTGATGCTGCTGGAAGGGCTGTGCAGAAATAGATGGTGGCATCTCAGATCTTAGACAGAGAAACACAGTGACAGCGTGGTTCTGTGCAGTTAGGGATCTCCTCCATAATGGGCTAAAGTCAATTTATTCCTGAGGATGTAGCTCAGATGGGAGAATGCCGGCGCAGCATGAGGGAAGTCCTCATGTTGATGTCTTGTCAGCACCACATAAACTAAGCATGGTGGTGTACGTCTGTAATCCCAGCATTTGGGAGGTGGAGGCAGGATGATCTGTAGCTCAGGCTCATCCTTGGCTACATAGTTAGTAGCCAGCCTGGGATAAATGACACCTTGTCTGAAAAATAAGCAATATATAATAATTAACTGATAATCCAGTAAAAAATGAGTGACGTGATTATACAAGCGTTCTCAGCCCAGTTTGGGCAGCAGTTGCCTAGAACTTCTGCACAGACTCCTGCAACGCTCCTCCCACCTCCGGGGCTGGCCCCACCCTCCTCTCTCAGCCACATTTAGTTTTACTGGTGGCTTGAGGCTTTAAGTTGTAACTCTTTTGGGAACACCACATATTATGGTGTGGAGAGTCCTCCCATGTATTTGACCATGTGTACATTAGTGTGGAGAGTCCTCCCGTGTATTTGACCATGTATACATTAGTGTGGAGAGTCCTCCACGGGGTCGTGTGTTTGAACCTGTGCCCCAGCTACCGGAGCTGTTCCAGAGGCTGGGAATCCTCTGAATTGTTAGCCAAATAAGCCTTCAGGTGTTTTGTGTGGAGAGCAGTAGCTAGTGCATAAGAAACACATTCATGCGGCATTCAGTGGAGCAAACTATGAATGTTTATTGGGTTCTAAAGATTATCTTCAAACACGGTGTCAGTGTTGACTTTTGGTCTGGTTTAGGGGCTAATAAATGGTAGTATTACTCTATACACTAGGGAAATAGTAAAGTGTGACAGAAGACTTTCCTGGTGCTAAAGGAATGAATCCTGGGTAAAGACAATTGCTGCCAAGCCCAGTCATGTCAGTTTGCCCAGAACCCACATGGTAGAAGCAGAGAGCTGACTCCTCCCTGAAAGTAGTTCTCTGACCTGTCTGTGTGCGCCGTGTCACACTCACACACACGTACACATATATACAACATAACAAGTGTAAAATGAAACTATGGCAATTAGTAACTATCATCACCGGCATTTTTGTGAAGGTCACTTTTGCTCTATGGTAAGCTTAGGCCTGTCCTTCCTGCAGCACCCAGGCCAAGCTACTGAGCAGAGATGACAGGCATCTGAGAAAGACAGTTCTTCAAAGTTCTCGGTCTTTCTGCTGAGCTACATTGGTTTAACGTGGAATTTGTCAAGCATGCAAGCAATGAATATATGTGTGCACTCCTTCTTAGGAAAAAGTTGAGCTCTGCTGCCATCTAGGGCTGTTACTTCCCACACATGTTTGTTTAGACTTTCCCAAGCTGCTTTCACAGAAATGCAGCACAGAAGAAACGGTGACAGCTCTTGGTGTGCCGCTAAGATTCTTTTTAGACTTTTTACTTTATTTTGTGTGTATTTTGCCTGCATGCATGTAAATGCACCACATGTGTACACGGAGGCCAGAAGAGGGAGTCACATCCCCTGGAACTGGAGTTACAGAGGGTCATCAGCTGCCATTCGGATGCAGGTATCCAGGTGCCTTTGGGCACAGCTGGTGCCCTTGACTGCTGAGCCTTCTCCACAGCTTCTGGGGTGTGATTTTTATGTACTTGAATAAAACTATGCATTCCCTGCTGGGCGCTTAGCATCCAATGTGAGAGAAAACGGCTTCTTCCCACTAAGTGCGTCTGCAGCCCACTCACAAGCCTGGCGGGTGGATTGCAACCTGCAGGGCAGTCACTGCTTCAGAAGTGCCACCAAAACAGAGTGCTCGGCTCGTGAGTCTAAAGCATAATTAGCAAATAGGTCTCAGTGAAGACTGCTGGCTCCCGGTCTGCCGAATCACTTTCAGAAGAGAGCTCCTGGGACTCACATGGAATGAGTGAGTGGCGGACATCGGAAGTCTTTTTCTGTGTGGGAAGGGACTCTCAGGTAGTTGAGGGTACCTGCCACTTCTATAAGCACTTAATATTTTAATATATACTATAACTGTAGTCCAGAGCCTGAAGCCAGTCTCTATGAACTCACATACACCATAAACTCGTCTGACCTGATGATAACACGTCACCATTTTGCTGTGTCATATTTCTGACATGAGTGTTTTTCCCTCATGTTCTGAGTATTCAAAATATTAGAAAAGTGGATTTGTGTCTATTCGCTATTTTATAGATGTAGTGCAATGTTTTAAAAATAGCTTCCCTGTAAATTTAATTAATATCGTGGCTTATGATGGCATTAAAACAGCACCTGCTCCCTATGACATCTAGTTCACAATAAGACAGTTTCATCTGGGCTAATTACAGATGCTGCCAGAGAAAGCACTTCTCTAATGACTTTCTGAGCTGTCCTATGGCTAGCACCCATGTTAGCTATGTGCTTCAGAAGCAATTTAATGTGTTTACCTTTGAAAACATCTAGATCTACACATTCAGGGCCTAACTGAAAGCATTTAAAATCCAGTTTTAAGCTCCAATTGGCTCTAAACTGGAGATTAAAATTCAATGAAAAAAAAATAACAACTTAAGAAAACATTTTGAAAATATCAGACTCCTTGAAGTGAGCATAACTTTATATATGTTGAAAGAAAACCATGAGGTCATTGCTTTCCAGCAGAACCGGCTCTTGGTATTGGCAATCTCAACACACACATGAGATGACCCTGTGTGAGGTACTCCTGTTTGCCCACACAGAGGAGGTGGGAAGAAGCTACCCACACATGAAAAAACCTTCAAAGAACCTTTCTCTTCTAATTTAAAGATAATACATGACAGAATGTAGGTGTCTTAAAAATGTGTTCCACTGTGTTGCAGCAAGAAGCTGTGGGCTGCTAAGTTAGTGCCCAGGTGTGCAATGAGATTACAGTGAGTTACATCAAATATCAAATCAACTCTTTTTTTCCTAGATAAACTTACTGTATAAACATACCTGTCCCATAATTTTATGATAAGCCCTTCTTACAGAGTCAAATACATAGCCATTAAACTCGAATAAATTTGTAATTTCAAGGCTAGAAATATGGATTGTCTTTTCTGAAGATTGTAGTCAAAGTAGGAAAGATCATGTGATTCCATGTTTTGACTCAACTCTTACCTGCTTTTAATTCTTCTTACTAAAAACCTTCTCTAGCCAATACTAGAATCTGTACTGCCACCTTGTGGTCATTTTTTTGTCTCCCTCTACAAATTGTTGCTTGCCTTTGCCCTGTGACTTTCTGCCCCTTTTGTATATCTAATCCCCTTTCGGCTTCTGTTTTGGCTAGAAACCCTTCCTGATCACCCACGATCCCACATAGAGCCCTCAGTGGCATTTCATGATTCACTTGTGGCAGAACTGTCCGTCCACAGCACACCTGTTCATGACCAGACATGAGATGATGGGCAACGCTCCTTTGTTTCTGTCTCACGTTCGTGATTCTGTGGCCAAATGCATTGATCGAAAGTTGTTACTTTGGGAATTATAATGAAATGTGATTTCTTTAATATTTCATACTGAATGATCTTTTCATATATAAAAAACAGACTTTTATGATTTTGTGTATGTTTTTATCTTCGCAGCTTTTGTCCTTCCTTCAGGGTTTATTTACATTTTACCACGAGGGATATGAACTTGCCCAGGAATTTGCACCGTATAAGCAACAGCTGCAGTTCAACTTGCAGAATGTAAGGATGCACCTGCTCTCCCCGTCATTCCGTAGCAATGACCTCAGAGTGACTCAGTTGGAACCAAGCCAGACCTTGTCTAAGTATGGTCAACTGCAAGTCCACATTATAGATGTCCTCATAATTAATTTCCTACTGATGAATTGAACTATGTAAGAGAAGAACTGATTTTATGGTAGAAAAATGTATGCTACTGTGTTTTATAAAAGTAAATATTACCAAGGTGGAGGACCCTGAGTTACTTGTTATTCTTGTTAGCTTTGTGGGTGGCACAAGATGAATGGAGTCTGGATTCTCATACCCACTGTGAGTATAATTAATACAGTGTTATAGATGATACATTTTTTTATGGACCTTACCATACACAAGCTCCTCATCACATACAAGCAAGAATAGTAAATACATGTGGTGGTGCATATATTACTTAACCTGATTATACAAATGATTTTACAATATATACAGATATCAGAACCTCACAGGTTCCTACAATGTGTATTCCTTTTATCTGTGAGTTATCCTCAAAGCCAGGAACAGAGGAGGGAGTCTTCACATTCTAAGGCCTCATATCTCCTAAATCATATGTGAAGCAGGTGCTATTGATTATTTGCAGATAAGTTTAAGTTTAAATGTAGCTTTGAAGCATCCAAAAGCATTGCATTAAAGAATGGGTGTGAGTTACTCACAAACCGGCCATTTCTACCAGCTTATTTTGTGAAGTCTCTGAACACATAACGACACTTCCACCATTAGCCAGCACGTTTCTGTCACTGTCAGACCTAGGCAAGGATGAGGTCCTAATGTTGAGTCTTCAGTCACTCTAGCCATAATAACCAAGGGAGCCTTCACTCAGTTTTCTGTGAAAGCTGTTCCTGCTTGTTAGGTCTTGTCTTTGTGGAGTCTAGTGAGGACACTACCTGGCCGGCTTGCCCCTGAAGAACTATGCAATTGGATTGTAATTTCTAATCATGTTTGGGTTTCAGCTTTTACTGCACTAAGATCCCCTAGCAGGAATCATTTCATCTTTAACCCATTTGCATTGTCTTTTCAATGTGGAAGGCAGTTGTCTGTCTTCAGTAAAGATTAAAAAGGAAAAATACCGACGCCAGAGTTTTATGAGTTGTTTCTGTATTAGCTACAATATCCACAGTTGGAATAGGAAAAAGGAAGCACTTGAAAATAATCAGTCCTTGTGTTTTAAAGAGAAATACAGCAAGAAAGTCCCCAGAAAAGGAGCCTAATCTACTTTAAGGTTCATTTCTCTGTTTGTGGGCCACAGAGAGATCTTGGGGTGAGCTGTGGATTTTATGTTTTTAGATATACTTTGTTGGGGTATTGTGTTTTGAATGTAAAACAGATTCTTTTGGAGAAAACCTCTTTTTTCCCCCTACAGCTTACATAAACTTATTATCAAGTGTATGAACTATTACTTTCAAAAGAAGTAAGAACTAGGACTTTGTATAAATAAATTTTCCACCTGTCTTCTAAGAACTGTGTTAGTACTTCCAGAAACCAAACCATGTGATGTCTTCTCAAAAAAGCCTTTCAACTGTAGAGTTCACTGAGATGTAGACTCTGGAACTCAGTTTATTTGAGTGACCACCTTAATCTACCCATGTGATCAATTTATTTGTGAGTTCATCATAGCAAAGTGATTTTATTTAATTCTAAAAAAGAAAAATCAAAACAAGCCTTTGGGACAAGAGGAGATTTTTTTTTTTAAGTTGTCCTTTGTCACATATATTGAAAGCATCTTTTTTTCTCCCTCAAAAGTGATTAAGTTCTTATGTATCTACTTTTAATCTTAGCTACCCAAAGCTAGCAGATGCTTAACAATGTTAGTTGCTGTTGTTCACCTACTTGGGACTCACCAGAGAGTGGGAAAGTAGAAACTATCTCACATAAGGAGAGCCAGAGAAGATTGTAGGCAGTCACTGGGAATGTCTCTACTAAAGCGACTCAAAGCAGACACACAGCTCAGCACAACGGAGTCCTTATATGTTTGGTAGAACCAATAGGACCAAGCTTGCCCTGACAGCCTTGGCAGTTCTGAGACTTTAGGTGAGAAGTTCCTCAAGCCTGGTGCAAAATGCCCAGTGAGTGTGTTGTTTCCCTTCCCTTCAGACAAGGAATAACTTTGAAAGTACTCGACAAGAGGTAGAGAGACTGATGCAGAGGATGAAATCTGCTAACCAGGACTATAGACCACCCAGCCAGTGGACCATGGAGGGCTACCTTTACGTCCAGGAGAAACGTGAGTCCCAGAGACCAATTTGAGGTCTCTCTTTTTATTTTCCTTTTCATTTCCTGTGTGTATGGAATCCATGTGTGTGCATGCATGTTGGCATGTGTATGGACACATTGTGTGTGGTTGTACACACACATATGCACTCATGTGTATAGAGATTCATATCAGAAATTGTTCCTCATATGGCAGGGTCTGTCAGTCAAGCCCAGAACTCTCCAATGGGGCTAGTCTTATTAGCCAATGTATTAGCCGGGGTTCTTGAGAAACAGGACTGATTGATTTATTAGAGTGACTTACAGGCTGCAGTCTGACTATTCCAACAATGATTCCCAGTGAAAAGTCCAAGAGTTCTATAGTGGTTCAGTCCACGAGGCTGGATGTCTCGGCTGGTCTTCAGTATATGCTGGACTCCTAAGGAAATAGGCTCTAACAACAATGAAGGGATGAACTTCCCGAGTGAGAGTGAGGGCAAGCAGCCAAAGAGAGCATGCTTCCTTCTCCCATGTCCTTTATATGAGCTGCCACCACCTTTATATGCTCCAGATTTAAGGTGGATCTTCCCACATCAAATGATTCAATCAAGAAAAATCCCTCACAGATGTACCCAGCAGCTTGGGTTTTGGTTAATTCCAGATGTAGCCAAGTTGTCAACCAAGACTAGCCATCACAGGCAGCTTGCTCTGGGGACTTTCCATCTCTGCCTACTGAGGCTAGAATTACCGGAGGGCCAACACACCCTCCTGACATTCATTTCACTTGGGGTTTGAGATCCAAACTCAGGGCTTCATGCATGCATAACAGATACTTTTAACTCCTTAGCCATTACCCTACCCCCCTCTTATTGCCTTACCCCCTCTTAAAAAAGAGTGTGTGTGTGTGTGTGTGTGTCAGAAGACAACTTCTGGGTTCTCCTTCCACCATCTTGGTTCCAGGGACTGAACTCAGGTTGTAAGCGTTGGCGGCAGATGCTTTTACCTGCTGAGCCATCTAGCTGGCCCTGCATTTGGTGTGTCATATAATTCAATGTGCTGTGTCTGTACCACATACTTTGGTTACTTACTTGAAATCAATGCTATGGTTTCACAAGGGAAGACTGAATCTCTGTACAGAATTTAAGACCGTATTCTGCCCACCATCAGCAAAGTGAGGAAGTTATTTCAGATTTTAGCATAGGATCGCTAATGAGAACAGTGCTAAGTTCAGTTGTAGAATTTGGTTGTGGTACTCCATCTCAATTTCAAGTTTCATAGAAAACTGAAAATCAAAACCCTTGTCAGGATGAATCACCTTGGTGACTATACTGCTAGTTTTTCCCTCAGAAGCATCTTCGTTACATTAAATTCTGGGTACTGCCGGTATTCAGAAGCAAAACTGGCAATTATGCCATGTCTCATCCACAGGCTTTACTTTCTGAGGTGAGAAAACCATTAGCAGACCCAACAGAGCGCTGTCATAGCAGCCTCATGCTCAGAATGTTTTTCCCACACAAATTAGCATAAATCCATCCATATACAACTGAGGTAGGTGACAGGATCCTTTCTGTGTGCTGTCGCTAAATGAAGCCACTTTGACCATTTTGGCTAAATCAACTCAGTTTCAAGTCAGATGTGCCCTAAAGTGCCATTCTCTCACTAGTGATAAACAAGCTGTTATTTCCAGTTTCATGGATCTGTACTTGCTTTTGGAAAGTAAAATACTGCATGTTTAGATTTTGCAGCCTTATATATCTTTCTGCTTTCTGCCATCACTCCCTGGGATTAAAGGCTCACTTCCTGGGATTAAAGGCATGAGTCACCATGCTTGGCTGTATCCTTGAACTCACAGAGATCCGGGTGGATCTCTGCCTCTGGAATGCAAGGATTAGAGGTGTGTGCTACCACTGCCTATGCTCTGTGTTTAATATTGTGACTGTTCTGTCTCTGATCCCAGATAAGTTTATTAGCATGCACAATATTTCGGGGAACACAGTACCACCACATTTCCCCTTTTTTGTCTAAAATTTAAAAAAGCTTATAACTAATACAAGAAAAACTATATCCAATAAGTATATACAATATATACAGTCAAGAATTACATTAATGATGTCTAGTCTGGAGCTAGAGCCAGAGGAATAAAATAATAAAATAATTTTAAATAAAATAATAAAAGCCTTGAACCAGAGGAATTCTCTGCAGAATTCCACCAGACTTTCAAGAAAGAGTACTCTTTCATTATGCTACAAAATAGAAACAGAAGGAACATTGACTAATTATTTTTACAAGGTCACAATTAATCTGATACCTAAACCACACAAAGACCCAAGAAAGAAGAAAATTACAAAACAATTTCCCATATGAACATAGATGCAAAAATTCTCAATAAAATAATTGCACACTGAATGCAAGAATACCTCTGCATTAGATGCAGAAAAGGCCTTTGACAAAATCCAACACTCCTTCATGATAAAAGTCCTGGAGAGACTAGGGATGTAAGGGACAGATATCAACATAGTAAAGGTGATTTACAACAAGCCACAGCCAGCATCAACCTAAACAGAGAGGAACTCAAAGCATTTCCACTAAATCCAGAAACAAGACAAGGTTGTCCATATTCTTCATACCTATTCAATATAGTACTCAAAGTCTTAGCTAGAGCAATGAGCCATCTGAAGGAGATGAAGGGATACAGATTTGAAAGGAAGCAGTCAAAGTATCTTTATTTGCAGATGATGTGATTGCATATATAAGTGACCCTAAAAACTCTTCTGGGAAACTCCTTCAGCTGATAAATTCTTTCAACAATGTAGCTAGATACAAAATTTCTTATGCTCTTTCTTCTTTTCTTTTTGTTAATTTGTTTGTTCTGTTTTATTATTTGTTTTTTCCATTTGTCTTTTTGAAGAAGGAGAAAGAACGTGTGGAGTCAGAATGGTGACGAGGTGGGGGATGACCCAGGAGGATATGAGGGAAGGGAAGCCATGGTCAGAATATATCATATGAAAACTTTTTTCAAAAACAAAACGATAAAAAGCAATTGAGAGTATTATTCCTTTAAACAGAACCCCCAATGCCTGTGCACAGCTGGCAGGCTTGCTCTTCTAGGCTATGTAATGTTTTTTATAATATCTAAAGGTTCTGAGGTAATGGTGTGCAGCGGTGTTCGTGAATGTGACAGTCTCTGCCACGGCGTTCTGTGGTCACTGGGCAGGACAGTTGGGCCTCTTTTGTTTTGCAGCTTTGGAGTTGCGATGTTTTAATTTTTCAGATACCTTAGGGGGCTTTAAGTGGACTGTCTGAGGCCAGTTCCCACACAGCTGCCAGCAAGCTTTAAAGCATGAAGTGGGGGGACAGCAAATGTCACCATGAAGTGTGGCAGCTTTCAAATTTAAGACAAGGCAGGGGAAAAACTACATATTTGGTCTAAAATATCATTAGAGCTTGGTGGCAGCTTCATTTTAAGACAACAGCAGAACCTACTTCACACACCGCTACCTAAGTAATGAAGTGGCTGCCAGTTTGCATCAGCCATGTTCCACTCACCAGCTCGCAGCTGTTAAGTGTTGTGCATTGCATGACACGGAGTATCAAGTGTCATCAAGTACTGTAGTGTGAAGAGGTCCTGGAACAGAACTAGAGTTAATTGCTGTAATCCCTTGTGATTGCAAAGTGTATGTGTACCCTGTCATCTTAAGATCTGGAGTAGTGTAAGTATGAGCAAAAGTTAAAACTGACACAAGGACACTATTACTAACAAAAAGAAACCCAGTGGCTCATGAAACACCATCTCAAGGTGCTGCTTTATATTTTAACTGCTTGCCTTTGAGTGCTGGGTTCTGAAATCAAGCCAGCAGTCACATTATGCACAGAGGTGGCTAAGGACTTCTGTGTTAAGTGGGTGGAGCACTAGCTGAACAAGCTTCGAGGAAGGGAGTCCTAAGCTCTCTTCCCAATCCACTCAGCCCACCATGGTCCTTGGATTCAGAACACTCACTCGGCTTCTCTGGGTAAATGCAAGCTCTTGTGCTTTGTCAATCAATGAAGGGCAGAATGAAGGATACACCCATTGCAGATGCAGGAGCATCGAGTTTTTCAGGGACAATACCAGGCCATAACATGATGTGCTGTGCTGTGAGAAAAGGGACCATGCCTATGGGGGAACAAAACTGAACATCACTGATATGCATATTTCTTTTAATATAAATAATATACAAACAGGGACATTATTAATTTAAGAACATTTGGATTTTTTAAAGAGACAAAGTCTCCTGGAGCTCATGTGGCCCTGGCCTTGCTATGTAGCTAACAGTGACCTTGAACTTCTCTTGCCTCTGCCTCTGAAGTGCTGCTGTCTCAGCCCTGGAGCACCACGTCTGATGCTCTACCACACCTACTCTCTTAGCTCCACCCCCGGCCATGGGCTTATTTCCCTCACAGCAACAGCAAGAGGAAGTAATTCCAAGGTCAGTAAAGTCAAGGATGACCATCCATGCCTAGCTTAGTTTGCCAAGTGTTCACCGAGTGACAGTGTATGTCTGGCCACACAAATATTAAACATATGCTCCTCAGCTGCCAGGAATGGAGGCATCTCTGTAATCCTGGCCCTTGGGAGCTTTACAGGAGGATCTTGAGCTCAAGGCTGGCCTTGGCTACATGGTAAATTTGAGAATAGTCTGAACTTCAAAGCAAGACCCCATCTCTAAAAACAGTTACATGTATGCATTGTTGGTATGATTGGATTTTCAAATGTTCTGTCCATAGCTGAGCACACCTGCTTACCAGATTCCACATTTACAGACAAGATCGAGATAGCTGAAGTTGACATATGGGACTACTTATAAGTTTCCCAATTCTGAGAAAGACTGAGTAAAGACGTTTGTTGATTTCATGGTGCCATCCTCAGTCACTTTTGCTCATCCTGGCCTTCCTCGCTACAGTCATGTGTGGACACTGTCCGTGTACAGGTGTGCCCATCCCATGCATACACTTAGGTACAAACCATACATCTGAATGTGAATGGTTTTTGTCTCCTGCACTAGGACCCTTGGGTTTCACGTGGATTAAACACTACTGCACTTATGACAAAGGGAGCAAAATGTTCACAATGAGCGTCTCAGAAGTGAAAGCCAGTGGGAAGATGGTGAGTGAGCTTTCTCCTCTTCAAATCAAGCTTCTAATTTAAGGAATGGGAGTTAAAGTGTCACCTGTGTTTCCTGTGCCTAATAATGTCACACATTTTTAATAACTGAAAATTTTATTTAAAAAATTTTAATAGCTTTAATGACATAAAAATGAATGGGCAGTGTTTTTCTTTAACTGGGCTACCATGTATTTATAAACAGTTGGTTACAGATAGGGATCCTTCAGTAGATGACTGAGGTACCCTCTTACATCTCTAGTTTCAGAAGTAGGGCTCTGTGCTATGTGTTGGCTAGCAACCAAGGAAGGAACTGCCAGTGGCTAGGCCCAGCTTGGCTCAGAGATTCTGCATCCTGTCCCTACTGGTAATGCTACAGCTGCCCTTGTGTTCTCTTTGCCTCTAATAGCTTAGAAACTCACATACCAAAATGCTGCCTAACAAATTTCTCAAAGAAGCCAATCAAGGCTTACTTACTCCAAAAGTAAATTAGTTGTTAAATGTGTCTCATGGCTAGCTACCATTATAGGACATGATGCATCTTATTTGAGGAAATGGTACAGTCTTCATTGCATATAGGGTGTAACTCCCTCCCTCCCTCCCTCCCTCCCTCCCTCCCTCCCTC